TAGAAGATTATATACAAAATTTAATTGTTCCCAATGCGGAAACGATAACCACTCACAAGGACAAAGGATAATTTTCTTCCGTACAAATAAACTCTAATGAGAGAGAAATTGAATTATGGGGAAATAATTTCATATTGTGATAAGTATATTATTTAATGTTAATCTCGTAAAATTTTCTGCACATTTACTTTTTCTCGTTCTTCTTTCTTTTGTTTCAGCATATATAAAAATAATATTGTAGGTACATCAAAGTCACGGTTATTTGCAAAAGTTTCCATCCTTTTGTTAGATTGTATGTATCTTGTATTTTTGACACTAGGAATGAAATCTTTTAGTTACGAACGAAAGATCTTAGAAGATCATTTTTTTCCCCCTTAACCAAATTCTATATCCAGTTTGGGAGTTCACAGTATATACATGCGTTTGATCTGAGTCGTTCTATTAAAATTGAGACGGCAATCTTTTCATAAATAATTTTCAACCGAATATAATAATATATTGAATACGATCAAATATACAAGTAGTACTACAAAATTTAATCTTTAGTATAATTTTATTTTATTATGTAGGAAAATAATTACCCAGAAATAACTTCCTATTAAATTTTATCTTACAAAGTAGCGTTCTTTATACACGATGACACTATCGTTTTTGAATAAACTATTGAAAATGACCATACCAATTTTAAGTTACCTAACTTTAAATATTAATACATCTATTTTTCACATATCTTATCTATATATATAAATATTAAAATTATCTATATTTATATATATATATATATAAATTTTACACAACAATTTAAAATACTCTAAACGCGCGCGTTAATTGTTAGATAAAATAATTTATCTAACTAACACGCAATTGATCACTTTGTTTCTAAACAAGGTCGACATGAAACAAATACAAACATTAACAACAACAATCCTCACCAATTATTTCCGTTTGCCCAAAAATTTCGATCTATAAAAACGATATTACTTTATAAATATATTTCAAAATACATTAATATATTTACCGTAATAATATATTCTATCTCAATATATTCGTCATACATATGTATGAATATTTTCTTGACAAACTGTTCAAAGATCGATGTTGTCGAGATTTATGCGAATTTTTCGGTCCAGACAGCAGTCGGAAGCTGATAGTGATGGTGGGGGACAGTGAGCGAGCACTCATGAGAGAGAACAAAAATTTTATAAAGAGAGAGAGAGAGAGAGAGACTGACGAAAAAAAAAGAGAATAGGAAAGAAAAAGAGTAAGCAAGAGAATAAAGATAGGAAAAAAAAAGGTACGCGACGAAGACGATTGAAAAGCGTTGGGCGCTGTCGCTGGAAGCGTTAGAGGGGGAGCGAATGAAAGAGAAAGAGTAGGGGGTGGTTGGGGAGGGAAAGGGAGAATAGCGTCAAGGTCGTCGTGTAGTCGGCCGTATCCGTTGGCGTTCGGTATCTAAATTTGCGCTTGATGGCGCTGTTCTGCGGCCTTCGTGACGCTGCTATTTCTTTCTCTCTCTTTCTCTTTATATATATATATATATATATATCTTTCTCTTTTACTCTCTTTCTATATACATATATATATCTTTCTCTGTCACTCTTTTTCTATATATATATTTCTTTCTCTTTCTCTCTCACATTCCCGTACGGTCCCCTTCACGCCTTCCTTCTCTCCCTTGTTGCACACGCAAAAAAGTCAAGTTCAAGGCCAACCGTAGATAACTCCCCGCGCGTGCTCTTCTCGTCGTCGTGTTTCATCCTTTTTCTCGTCTCTCGTTGCGTCTCTCGCTTAAAGCGATCATTTAATATGCGATCGAACAAGGAACGACCGATCTAAAGGGTTGCTTGGAGAAATCGACGAACAGAGAGAGAATGAAAGGGTGGGAGAACGAAAGGGAAAGGGAAGAAGGGTGTGAAGAGGATGCATCCTTACGTAATCTTTTCCCCGTTAGTTTCCTTTCGAAGTAACACGTAGGAACACTTCAGTTACATGGATGAACTATCAATGAAGTTTCGTTTAGATATATATAAATAGGGTATATTTTTATTTATATTTTTAGTTTACATATATACTTGTGAGAAAAATAATTTTATATAAAACGTTGGATATATAAATATATTACGTATATAATCGTAATTATTTGATATATATCATGAGAATTTTTTAAATGAAAACAATAAGTCTCTTAATTTTTATATATTAGGTGTTTAATGTCTATATATGTATATATATATATATTTTTTAATATGCTTTATTCATGTCAACTTCAGTTATGAGGATGTTACGTTTGTTTTAGTTTGGTTTTATTAATGTATATTATAATTTACATTTACTCTTGTAATATTTTAAGGGAATAAACATTGAAAGGGGAATCGTTAGAAATTTGAAGTTAATTTTTACCAGGTTCAACAATTGTGCATCTTATTGATATTAGTGCAAATGTTCTGTATACTCGTGAAATAATTTTTCATTTATTGTTTCATCACACACAAATTTTTGATTAATCTTATATCTCAATATAAGTTTGTACAAATTGGATAATGAAAATCGTAAAAAGATAATAAAGATATAGATGATTTTATAAGATAGAATCCGTATATGTATCGATTCTTAAATAAAATAGATTCTTAATTTATTTAATACTTAAATTTTCTTTTTCTTATATTGTGTCGTAACAATATTGACAGAATATAGAATTTAATTCTATCGCCGGAAGAAATAATTCAAGCATATATGATAACGTAACGCTTTTGCAGAGATGGGAGTATAGGTTCAAGGTTTACGAGTCCAAGCATCTCTCTATTATCTCTCTATCTAATTTCCTTTTCTATTTAATTTCATACCACATGCTTTAATAAGGACTCAAACTCGAGCGTTCATTATGCAATCTTCATTTATTGTTTTCCTTTACGATCGTAGGTATGAATTGTATAATAAGCGTATTGGATCCTGATCATGTCACGAATTATTTTCTTTTCGTCATCGATCATCGATCATCGATCATTGATCTTTTCCTAACATCTTATCGAATTCAAAGATGAATAAGTTCAAAGATATCACGATTTTTGTCAACTCCTTTCTCAACATGTACAATTTAAAATTACACATTTATATTTCTGTAATTTACAAATTTGATATTTGAAAAAAGAAAAAAAGAGAACATTTTTCTGTTCAACGATTTAGTTCATAGTCGAGCGTATTGTCTATAGTAAATGTTAAGAAAATAATAATGGAAAATTAAACTAGTATCTAGCTCGTTAAATGTGAAAAAAAAAGAAATTGAATAATTATTAGCATATAGTTCGTTTTCGTTTGAAGATAATATAGTGCAAAGGAAAAAAAAAAGTTACACATTCTCTAAGCATATATCCGAATCGCACGAATGCGATATAATAGTCGCGTTTCATTCGAGAAGTCAAGTTCAAGTTCAAGCAGATATCCTGCGTCCCTCTATCTTTACTTTGTTCGAACTACGACACCGTATGTGCTTCTTGTGTGTTAAGAGATGTTGAAGAAGTTAGAGATGAAGGAAGATGAAGGGAAAGATAGAGGGGATAGAAGATGATGATGAGGAAGTTGGGGAGGGGATTATGAGGAAAAAGAGGAAAGAAGAAGAAGAAGAAGAAGAAGAAGAAGGCTTACGCAATCCTTTCACCGTTACTTTGTTCACGGAACCTAGGAAGGGCCTGCTTAAGGGTCCATCTTCCCAAGTATGGGTCCTTTCGTGCGGACTTTTTAAAAGCTGTTTTTCTTGTCGCCTTAGGTTCAGTCATTTATACTGCGTAAAGGGAAGGATATATAGAGAATAAAAAAAGAAAAAGAAGAAATTTAAGTTCAAGGTTAACCAGATGGCGCAGAAATACTCATCATCTTCTTACGCGTATCTACTATATCTCTGAGCTCACGATTAAATCCAAGATTCTTTGCGTCATCAATTCTGTAGCCTTTTCCTTTTCCTTTGATGAGAGCAAGAAAAAAGAAGTATAATACATATTACTATAGTTATTATATGTATATGCTATGTGTATAAAAGCTTTTTTATCGAAGCGTAAATATCAGTAGTGGTTTTTTTTTTATACATTGTTCGAGTACTTTAAAATCGTCGAGCTAATTTTCAAGAGCCAGAAGGAGGATGAGGAGGAGGAGGAGGAGGAGGAGGGTTCGTTTACTCTCTTCTCATAAGTTTTTAACAATTAAGTTCTCGAATGGATTTTATGAAAGGGAAATGATCCCGTCGGAAAATATTTGACGCGAGATGCTGAAGTAAATTAATCCCAAAAGCGTGGTAGATAAAAAAGAGCAAGAAAGTTGATAGTTGCTAATTCGAGGCCGTCGTTTATCATCTCGATTTATCTTCTCTCCTACGATTCGAAACGTAATACCTTTCTTCTTGCGTATATTTTTTTTTTTTTTTAAATCTTATATATTAAAATGCTTCGGAGATTAGAAATACTATTGCGTAGTAGATACGAATTGAAGAAAATTTTCGGAACAAAGTATCATCGAGAAGATCTAGGGAAGGCCAATGATGCGAAGATAATTACGAAGAGAGAGAGAGAGAGAGAGAGCGCGGATGGTCGAGTTAAAAATGATTTTTTTCGCTTCTAGCCTGGCACGAACATTGCGAGGGCCGGCCACGTTACGAGCATCCTCTTTCAATCGCGAATTCTCTGAAGTCGATTCTAAAAATGTTCGCGACGTTGCTCGCGTTTAAAAATAGTAATCGAAAAAAGTGCAACTAACTGCAAGAAGTTGGGAAAAAAAATGAGAGAGAAAAAGAGAGAGTGAGGGTGGATAAGAGGTTGGGAGGGAGGGTGGGAAGCAAGAAGAGGTAGTAATAAGCTTTTTCTATTACCGACTGCAAGAAATAGAGAAATAGTGCAGGGAAGGAAGTGGAAAACTCGAAGAGAGGAAACAATAATTTGTTTTCCAGTAGAATTTTCACTTTTACGATATTTTCTTCGACCCATTTATTGAAATCACATTTCGTTTGATCGTAGGTTTGTATGATGTCTGGCAATACTACTGAAGGTATGATATGCTACAACAGAACCATGCCAAACATTAAACAAGAAGTCGACAACCCCGCGACGCCTACGCAAAACTATCAAGTTTGTTCACCGACCACTACGCTGCAAAATCAGGAGGTAAAATTCAGTAAGATTAGCGAAGAAATTGAGAAATATGTTTAAATGACTATTTCAATAAGATAATAACGATAAATGTAATATTTTGTTAGGTAATTTGCACAAAAATGGACGTGCCGCCTGATTATGGCGGCGGTGGTGGTGGTGGTAGCACTGGTAACGGAAATGGTGGGGGTGGTAGCGGAAGTCCAGGTAGCCCAGAGATGCATCACTGTTCTTCGACGACTCAACCTTTAGGAACTCCTGAGGTATTATTCAAAATTCATGACACGATATCGTTGTTTAATGTTGTATTGTATATTATGAATTTTAAAAAATAAAATATCGTATTTTGTTTCTTCGTCTTTCTTATTTAGGAAGGCATTAAAGAGGAAGACATGATGCCGAGGAGACTGTGTCTTGTTTGTGGAGACATAGCAAGTGGATTCCATTACGGTGTTGCATCTTGTGAGGCGTGCAAAGCTTTCTTTAAAAGGACCATACAAGGTAAAGAAAGTTTCACGTTTCTCTCTTACTCTTGGAAATTCGATCATTTTTTACCAGATAGTACCAATAACTTTTATAAATATGATCATTTTTAGCAATGTATTTTAATAATGGTACTATCTGGATCAAGGCCATGTATATTACGATAAAATAGCGAGTAACTTTACAGGAAACATTGAATATACTTGCCCGGCAAACGGAGAGTGTGAGATAAATAAACGTAGAAGAAAAGCTTGTCAAGCGTGCAGATTTCAAAAGTGTCTTCGTCAGGGAATGTTAAAGGAGGGTGTTAGATTGGATCGGGTTAGAGGTGGCAGGCAAAAATACAGAAGGTCTACAGATCCTTACATCCCTGTGAAAACGGCAACACTGGAAGGTAATATTTTTGATAAAGTATTTCCATTTTAATTTTTCATGTCATGTTGTGACTTTAGAACCAGTTCGAGTATATCCGTACATATAAACAAACATTTTTTAATATTTCAAGCGAGCGTAGCATCCGGAGGATCTGGAGAACAAATAAGTAAGCTGCAGAATATTTATTAAGTTTGGTTTATACATTAGATAAAATCAAACTGGATAAAGTTGACGTAATATCAAGTAAAAACAAAAAACATATATCACGATGTTTGATATTATCGTGGATCGATTAAAACTATATACGTGTGTTTCTAGATAACAAGATGGTCGAAGCTCTAGCTGCGTGCGAGCCCGATATTTTACAAGTATCCAATCTTTCTCATACATTGGATACAGATCAGAGGATATTGGGCCAAATGGCGGATCTTTATGATCGCGAATTAGTCGGAACTATCGGTAATTTTAATTACTAATATAGTCATTTAATCTACGCGAGATAAGCCTTCTATTTTTATAATACAGAAAATGATATTCTTCAAAAGGTTGGGCTAAGCAGATACCAGGATTCAGCAGTTTAGCTTTAAACGATCAAATGCGGCTTCTACAAAGTACATGGGCGGAAATCCTCACTTTCAGTTTAGCATGGAGAAGTGTGCCTAATAATGGCAGATTGTGGTTCGCTCAAGATTTCAGCTTGGATGAACGTCAGGCACGTGAATGCCATTGTATAGAATTATATACGCATGTAAGTGTTCAAGAAGATTAATAAAAACGTTTATATTATAAAATGGAATTTAACATGATACAAGTGACTTTTTTGGATCTTTGATAACATTTTTTTCCTCATTACTGTTTACGATAGTGTATCCAGATCGTAGAAAGGATTCAACGATTGGGTTTGATCAAAGAAGAATACTATGTACTGAAGGCATTGATTCTGGCGAATAGCGACGCGAGATCAGACGAACCTCAAGCGCTATATCGCTTTCGTGACGCAATATTAAATTCCCTTTCGGACTGTGTAGCAGCTGTTAGGCCAGGACAGGCATTACGTGCTACGCAAAACATGTTCCTAATACTGCCCAGTCTTAGGCAGGCCGATGGAATTGTAAGGAAATTTTGGTCGAGTGTTTGTAGAACGGGCAAAGTGCCGATGAACAAGCTTTTTGTAGAGATGTTGGAAGCTGCCTATTATCGATGAAACAACTAGAACCTGGTCGAATCTTATCATTTAAAGAAAAACTTTTCTTCAAAGTTATCATTGATTGTCGATTAAGAAAATAATTACCATTGTGCGGAAATAACAGAGGTGTTAAACTTGCCTTTTCGAAACTAACGAGAATGACAGTGAGTGATATAAGTGAAAAAAAAGAGAACAGTGCAGTTCTGATATAATATGTTAATATATATATGTTCTATATATATTAACATATTTATAAATGTTTTTTTTTCTTTATAACAGACTCGCAAACAAAATGTTTCTTTATTTTTTAAAGGTGAAGCGTGGAGTGATTTCGACCAGTGTTTCCCAACGATCATCGAACCTTGCGTATAGTATTGAAATACCATACGCTTTCTTTGTTTAAAGTAACCAAACTTTCCTTTTCAAGTACCCCTTTTACAGGTATAGGGAAAGGAATGTGATTTTCAGCATAAAAAACGCGGAAAATAAAATGCGAAAAGCCTACGTTTAGAAGTATCATTAAATAGGATAGTATATAGTCTGTTGATCGACAGATCGCACTACCAAATAAATATGTTTTTGTTTATACAATTGATCATTATGATCGTGACATCGAGTCCAATGATCGTACAAGTCAGATCGAAGTTTATTAATTGTGGTGTTTGATAAACTGTGGGTGTTTGATGTTACATATTCGCAATAGAGACAGTTTGCTAATCATCTCATGTTTGTATCAATCTGGATCCATATGCATCATTTCTGGCAGTTAGTTAATTTAGCAAAGAAGTACGTATAGAAAAACGTAAGTAACGTTGATAATTTAAAAGAAAAGAAAAGTGAAAAAAATTACAAAATGACAAAAAAAAAGAGAATAATAATAATAATAATAATAATAATAATAAAAATAATAATGATAATGATAATAATAATAATAATAATAATATAATAATAATAATAATAATAATAATAATAAAAATAATAATAATAATAATACTACAGATGTTTACTTGGCATTATAGGTGGCATTAATGTTTGAAAGTAATACTAATTAAAACTTAAGCTAGATGTATCGAACATCCATAGTTACAGCACTTTAAACCTTTAGGGCGTATCGTTGTACAAATAAAAAAACCAGTGATAGGAATATATAGGGTTGATTAAGTTGGAAAGATGAAGGAGAAGAAACAAAAAAGAAATGAAAGAGAAAGAATGACTGGATCGTTCTCGAATTAGAGTCACGCTTTTTTTTTTAGTTTTCTTTTAATTTTTCCTTTTTATTTTTTTCTCTTTTTAATTTTTTTTTTTTTTGTATAAGACACATTAGGAATATATTTTAAGAGTGGGCTTTGGCCAGGCTGCCAAGTTCAGAAGAGTAAACATAAAATAAAAGAAAAGAGGAGTTTAATTGTTTGTTAAAAATGATCGCGATACTTGTTCCGCGTGTGCCACACACAAAAAAAGGAGAATATATATGATATATACATATATACATATATATATACATATATTTCATAAATATGTCATATGTATATACGATATATGCATATAGGAGAATATATATTATATATATTCAGGGATCTTTATTATCTAGTTATTACCGTTATGAGTATCGCGTGCAGGTCGTGTTCATAGTACTATTACTTCTATGGAAGGAAAGTCGTTATGTAACAAGAACTACCCATTCTGAAAAGTGAAAGTTCAGTACGAATTCACAAATAACCGAATAGAAATTTCTTTTATAGAGCTTTCTTTATATAGCGAATAGTTTATCGTCTGCCGTAACATTTTCACTGATATATTTCAATAACTTTTTGTTGTTGTTTATTATTTGTTATATTTTGCCTTATACATATATTCGCGTTGAAAATGATTAAAAGGAACGATATAAAAAAAAAAAAAAGAAAAAGTTGTGAATTAGTTATGTTGAAAAGAAAACAATTAATATCTTGTTACTTATTAAATTTAAAATGAAAAGATGTACTCTCGGAATGTATTGGTAATCTACGTTGTTAAATGTAATTTTCTCTTTTAAAATATGAGTAACGAGCATATGAAGTATTCAAATTTTTGCACGAAAGAGAAAGAAAATGTTATTAATTGATTTAAAATAACGTTGATAAGAAAAGAAAAGAAAAGAAACAAAGTAATAAATAAACGATCGGAAGAATCGGTGAAAATGTTATGTTGGTATAGTCGTATCGTAGGTCTATATCGTCACTTTTACGGTGCAATATATAGTTCAGTCGCGTCGTTGCATTATCCAAATCATGGAAATGTGGCAAATAATTCCTTTATTTACCCTCCCCCTGCTTCTTCTTCTTTTTTCTAAACTTCTTCCCCTCCCCATAATCCTCACTCCCGTTTATCTTAGAACAATCTGTCACCTATCCCTCATTTACGTACGATTAATATTTCATGATATTGACTTCCCTCTATATTATCTTATTCGCCTAAGTTCTCTCAAGTTTTCCTGCTTGATGATTTGTTCCTCGTCATGAAGTAGATAGCATAATAAATGAAATGAAAACATGGCTGTTCAGCCACGGCGAATTTTATCTATGTTCTTTGCAGTTTGCTACCGATTTTCTTCTCTCGCTCTCTCTCTCTCTCTTTCTATTTCTATTTCTCTTTCTCTTTCTCTTTTTTTTTCATTCATTTCGTAATTTATTTTGTTTAAATATTTTTCTTTTTCTTTTCTTTTTTTATCAATGAATTTTATTTTAAAAAGCCTAGAAATAAATTGAAAATAATGAAGGAGAAGGACTGACGCAAGAAAAATTCTTTTTCGAATTGTTTGCCGATGAAAATTTCTTCCCCTATATCGGAATAATTTAATTATCGTTTAATCATTATCTTTGTTTTTTACTTTCAATTTAATATACATTCTTTTGTCATGCTCCTTCCTTCTCATATTTATTGTTAATTAACGTTAATGAGTATCTTCTTTGGGCTGTGATATTTACACATTATTCGGCTTTTTCTTTTGTGAAATCATTAACGTTTCGTGGAAAAATTCTGATTATGATATATATGTGTGATACATTCATGAATTTACTTTATTTTTGATTTTTTTTCTTTCCTATTTCTTTTTTCTCTATTTTTTTTGTTTTTTGTTTTTATTTCATTTTTCTTAAGTCGGTTTCATAATGATTTACGAACTATTTCCATGCATTTATGCATATATATGAAAATCGATACGGCAAAATAATTTTGTTAATATTAACGGTGAAACTATGTTAACCAGATTTGGCGATAAGGGTGGTCTCGTAAAGCTTAATTAAATTCGCGCATTGTTGATAAGCTTTTGCTTGATAATCCGATTCGTTCCTTGATTTATTATTTTCAAGTGGAACTTAATTTATTTACAATACGCGTACGATCGTTCATTATAAATCTGACAATAAGATGCGATATATGTGTGTTAAAACTTGAACACGCACGTATACATAATGTGATGATATTAAAATGATTAAATATCAAAAATCACGGTGATTATTTAATTATTAAAAAAATAAACGGAAAATAAAATATTTTCTTAAATAATCGAAACGTTTCAACGCGTAAAAACGAAAAGATGTATTTTTATGAAACCGACTTTTGTATGGTTCCTCTCTCAAATCGAAATTGATAAATTTACAATTTTCGTGAGTTTGGTTCTTTTCTTAGTAATATGTTTCTTTCTTTTTTTTGTCCCTAAAGTTTTATTTACACTCAAATCATCATCCACATTCGCCGTGGCATAGAATCGTAGTCTCAGGGTTGCATACAAACAAATAAAACAAACGATACAAACCTCGACACATACAAATAGTTAAGAGTGCGAATATATTTGTGAAACAAACATTAATAATAATAATAATAATAATAAAGAAAAAATAATATTAATAATTATAAAATTAATTAATAATAATAACGATATAAAGATAAGAAGACGATTAATGCTGTAACTCACTATGTTATTATAATGAAGCTTATGTGTTACGAAGTTGAAAATTATTTATGTATAAAAAAAAAAAAAGGCAAAAAAGAAAAAAACAAAGTACTCGAGAGAGAAGAAAACGCATGTATACATGAATATATATGAAAACGGAAGAAAAAGATAAAATCTGATAAAAGTTATATAAATTCTATTATGTTTTAAGATAGTATGAATTTTGTTCTTGTTTAACCCGGGATTAAACAATTTATTTGTAAAGTAAAGATTTCGACTATTTGTGTTATTCCAGAAAAAAAAAAAAAATCGTTATTCGTTTTATCCGTCCGCGTGTTTGACTTGAAATTATTATTCTGCGTGGTCGAGAAAGAGACGTTGATTATGCCAACGTGCGCATATTTTTTTTCCGGAGGATAGACAAAGACAAAACACTAAAAATAAAAGATAAAATCGATTTATTTTTGTTATAATAGAAGTGATTAAAATAAATATTGTATGTATATTTTGTATTTGGCATTAAGAAGGAATAACTATAAAAGAAAAAAAAAGAAAAAGCTTAAAACTTAAAAGGATACAATCCTAGTTGAAATAAAATCTCTGTCCTTTTTTTATCTTTATCTTTCTCAAACTAACACCTCTCTTTCTTTCTCTCTTTTTTTTTTTTTTTTTTTTTTTTCATATAAAAAATTATCCTGATAAACACAAAAAGATAAAATAAAATAGATTTTTTTTTTCTTTCGTTGTCACTGTACAATATCATCGCCCCTTTATAAAGTGTAAATATATAGTATAAATAAAGAAGGCGAGAAACGTCAGTACCAGTTTTGAGATTTTTATATTATAACAGGCATCATTTACAAGATGGATTTGCAGATGGATGCGAACGTAGTTTAAATTTAATATTGTTAGGTATGTAACGTGTAGACACAATATCGCGCACGTTATTCAAAATAAGATTATGTTTATTTAAATATAATGCGAAAGAAAAAGGGAGAAGATCAAGAAAATAAAAGATTTTTCGTTACAAAAATATTGAATGTTAATAATACATAAGTTATGTGAAATGAAAAAGGAATGTAACAAAGAAAGAAAGAAAGAATGAAGAAAAATAAGAACAGAAAATAATTGATATATTTATCAAGAATGTTTTTTTCTGTTTTAAGAAAATCTAAAAAGATAGTTTTAAAATTCTTATATAAATAATCTGCTTCTCTTATCTGTGATCTATTCTACTCAATAAAAAAAAATTCTTTATTATGCTTTTGATCTTTAGATCTTCTTTCGAAATCCATTATCGAAAAGGATGCCTGTAGAAATGAAAAATGCCGCTTATATGACGATTATAAATATGTATTTAATTACTTTGTAATTGTATTATAGTAGGTCAATCCTTGTGTATGTATATATATATATGTGTGTGTGCGTGTGTATGTATGTTGGATGTATGTATGTATGTGTGTGTATGTGTATATATATATATATATAATATATAATATAAATTTTATATATATATATATATATAAAATATAATATAATTTTTATATGTATACATACACACAAATACACATATATACAAAAGAAGAGAGAAATTTAGTCGAACAAAAACACACGAGACATCACCGGTTAACTTGTAAAAAAAGAAGGGGAAAAAAAATTGAATGGAAATCAAGCGAAAGCCTAAATTTAATTGGAATTTAGCGTGTGCGCCAGGATATTCGTACAAGTCGCGTATAAATATTAATTCGTCCGGATGAGAAAAAATGTGTTATATAAGATAACTATGAATTCAAATTATTCTGCCAGGAGTCACAGGAGAAAATAAACAAATATATTGCATGGAATTATTTTTGTGCTCAATTACAATGATTATATGTAATATGATTTTTTAATTTCTATCTGACATGATTAATCAATCTCTCAACGAATATTAGAAATACAGTGGATAAAAATGAAATTGATTAAATTCTAACCATTTTTGTTGATTCTGAAAATGTGGTTTATTTGATGGCTTGTCCGGATTTCGGTCTCTCTCTTTCTAACTGAAGGATATCTTGAATTATTCGCATGGTAAGCACGAATTGTCGTTTGTGATGCGCAGCGAGGAACTGCCGATTCCAACGAAATAGAATATATAGTCCAAATCTTTCCGCAGTTCATCCAGTAGTCATGCACCGACAAGTGCATTTCTTCGTCTTCTTTTCTTATATTCTTATTTCGTTTGCTTTAGCAAATGGCAGTGAGTGTGGATCATATTTTGCTTATGTGTTTCATTTCTTCTTTTTTTTTTTTCATTTATTTAATATATTAATAATTTTTCATTTTAATTATTTGCAATTCGAAAAAACAATTATTATTTATTTTCATAACTTTTTAACCGGAGAAAAAGTTTTGATGACCGGTGAACGTGAATGCATACAAATTATTTGGCATTAAAATATAAATTAGGATAGAAACAAGAATCTTCGATTAAATTTACGAATCGTTTAAACGCAGAATTAAGATATATATATATATACAATATTTTTTATTTGATTTTAGTGAGACACGGATTAATTTATTTATTTTTTTTCTTTTTTGTTAATTACAAGAGAAATGAAATATTTGTGACGCGTAAACTCATTTTGAAGTTTTAATTGAACGCTTATATTGTTATATCTCTTTTTTATTTCTTTTTATTTCTTTTATTTCTTGGTTGATTTTAGTTACAGTGGAACGACCGCAATCATTAAAAGACCAATGTCTGGAATCAAATATTCTGGAATTAGAGGAATACATTTCTACATTGAAATTTGCAAAAGTACCTACAATTAATTCAATGGTCGTTGGTTTTGAATTTCCAATGGCTACTTTACCCTTTGGCATTTTGAGATCCGACTGGACGAGATTATTATTACTACGTAATGTGCAAGAAAAAAATTCAATTTTAGCCGAAAAATTGGAATTTTTATTTAAAATTTTAATCGTAGCTTATCAAAATTTCGAAAAAAGCCTGTCATCGAGAAAATTCTTCAATGGAACGAACAATAGGTAAGCCAAATTCGATTCTTGATTTTAATATTATTCATTGAACAGATCACATTAATGAAATATTTAACAACATTTGTTGTTTTGTTATAATTTTAATGAAAGATTTCATTTTAAACATAATATCAAAATACTATAATCGATTCTTTGACGAAAAAAGAAAATATAACAAATAATCATTTTATTTCTAAGAATATTTCTAATACAGGAAATATTTGCAGCGTTAGCGAAACTCATGTGGAAACGAAATTAACGAGGTCGAATTTTAATTTTAACATAGAACAATCAAGAATACCTTCTGATAATACAAATATTAATATTATTCCTGATAATCGTGGTGATATAAACGAGAATGAGATTACTGAAAATACAGAAAAAGAAGAGAATGTTGAACACGTTAGTATGGAATATAATAAAAATGTAAAAGGAAATAAAGTGACAAATTCTATGAATAATCATAATAATAGTAAAGTTACTACGCATACGAATTCGCAAGGATATACGAAAGCCGATTGTCCGAAAAATACAATTAAATCTTTCTTTCCTGTACGCATAAATAAATTATTAACAAATACAAGAACGTCCAATGATCCAAATAATCGGATAACAAAAGTTAGCATTCGTAATGAATCGAATAATGAAAAAGTTATAACAATACCATTATCAATTTCCTTAGAGATTAGTTTAGACGGTGCAAATATAAAAGTTCCAATATCAACGAAAAAAATGGAGAGCTTGGATAATTCAACAAATATAATAAAGTTTGATTATGCGGAAACGTCTACAGAGGGATTGAATTCGATCGATTGTTCTTTATCGACCTTTCGAACGGAAATTTTAGAAGAAACTATATCGCAGGAAACACAAATGGAAACAAACTCAAACAATATAATTCATTTGAATGATTCTGATGAAATGGGTAATCTTAATATCAAAGAAAATCAAAGTATGAATTTAACGACTAGTAGGATTAATCCTAACGAGGTAAAGAAAGATGAAAATATCGATGATTCCTTTTCGACTAGTGTTGAAAAAAGTGAAAAATTAAATGTTTCGTTAGAAACAACTAAGAACGATAAAATAAATAATCATAATTTGGCAATAATTGACGAGACAAACAAAAATGACAAAAGTTTTGATTCTTCGACTTTTAACGATTTTAATTCCACATTTATTTTACCTGTCGATTTGAAAAAATTGACCATAGTGGAAATTGTTAATTCTATGAAATCTAATGATAAAAAGAATCCTATGGAAAGTAGCGTAAACAATATAACGAATTATGAAGGTAATACGCGAGCGACTATTTCAAAGATTCTACCGATTTTGAAAAATGATAATTTAACACATCCGTCGAATGTAGCAACAACAAATTCGATGGATTACATCGATCCATCAGCGAGCAGCAATATTTACGATGTTTTCACTGAGAAGACAGACTCCTCTATCGACAGATTTCATCATAAGGTCGAAGATAAACTGAAAAAGCTTCCGGTTTTCCGAGAACAACCTCCAGGACACGTTACGAAGGATCATAAAGCGAACGTAGAACTTTCTTCGCTTGTCTCAAAGACTATTACCTTCCTGACAGACTCGATAACGGAAACAAATAGATTTAAGGAACATCCCTCGAATCCTCTGAAACGTGACCGTATTAATAATTCCGATATCGAAAAGAATTATAGATTATTTTACAATTACGGAGGAGGACTGCCGGAAAAAATTAGGTATGAAATCTCGAGCTCTGGTAACTTTATTATTTCCATTATTTTAATATATAATTTTAATTAAATTTGTCCAAATATTATCTCTCTTTTTAAAATCATTATGATTTTTGTCTATTTTGTCTTATTCTCTCTTTCTTTCCTTTTTTCTGTTTTTTTTTATTTTTCAGAAAATATGACAGAAACATATTGGATTTTATTCGTATTAAATGCAAAAACGAATGTACGTAATATGATAACAGGAATATTATTCTTCTGACTGTATAAAATATTATATAAATATGCGTATACCGTTATCAATTGAAATAACGAGAGGAAAAATGAAATTTTATTTTATTACGATTATGTTATATATTTATTTATTTAATATGAAAATGTTTGGAGTGTTATTCGACAAGTGGACTGTTTTAAGAAATTACAGGTGAGCTTTTTCGACCAATATCGTCTCAATACATTGCATTTGCACCTAACCCGGTGCAACGACCGGACACTTACCGATTCTTATCAGCGATTTCGTGGACGGTCCATAAATTCATGGCCCGGAACCGACTGATATTTACGAGCTCCGCACCTGGTAACGTCCGTCATGTTTTACGAGCCCTCGTAAACGAATCCTCTTATTATCTGACCCGATCTCCTGTGTAAACTCTTTCGCGTGGATTCGGCTTTGAAATTTTACGGGGAGATTTTTAGGATGGTCTCCGGTCAGTTTTATTAAAGGACAATACGGTATTTTTTTTTCACCGTCGATATGACATCTCTCGTTGAGTTACCATCGAACTATGGATACAATTATTTTATTCCAACGAGACTTCCTACCCATGCAGCAGCAACACCCATCTCATTTTATAAATGACGCATACTTTTTTTCCTTTTTTTATTTTGTATTTTATCAAATCACATTACTCGCGCGATTATTTTTTCAGATTTAATTTTTAGACAAAAGCTGTCGCAGTGCCGAAATTTTTAGATTTAATTTTTAGACGAAAGCTGTCGCAGTGCAGAAATTTTCAGATTTATTTTCTCTACCCCCCGGAACAATTATATTCTTCTTTATTTGTTTTTTTTTTTGTTATCAAAAATATCCTACAGTTTCGACGATTTTCATCGCCAATATTATCATTATAGACAAATATTCGGTGTCACTGAATAGAAATAATAATAATAATAATAATAATAATAATAAAAAAAAACTAATTTTTTATATAGAGTAAAAAAGAGAGAAATGTAAAAAAAGAATATGAAGGAATAACGAAGAGATTATGAAAAATGCCACTCACCATCGATGTACATCATTTTCAATTTTCTAAAAATGACTTATCGACAAAGTACTTTTTCACAATTTTTCCGAACAATGGGTAAATAGATACGAACGATAAATTTGCGTTCGTGGATCAGCTTTCATCCCTACGGGGGAAAAAATGTCACTCGAATGTTGGTAGAATGTTGGAGAAGCGTTGGAGCATCAAGGGTGAGGAGAGCGGGTAGGAGGATGGGGGTACGGGTAGAGAAGTACGATAATTAGTGCTGTCGCTTTTTCGTTTGTAATTACCCCGTCAAGTGGTCGGTATTGTTCGTTAAACGAACTGGATGATTTTCGCTTGTAATTTGTAAAAATATTCATGCGTCGAGACTTTTAATTAATCTATCGGCCCAAGTTTGACAAATTTCACGTTTCCCGTGGTAGAAAAATTTGTCGATATTTTTTTCTTGGTGTGTTTTCTGTTTTTTTTTTTTTTTTTTTTTTTTTTTTTTTAAACGTCCAGCAGAATGATCCATTTCACAAAAGTTGTTCGCAAAAATTGTTGTCATCGTTTCCGTCACGTCGAATAACTACGAGAGAAAGTCTTTTTCTCCTGTGTAAGAGAACGTTACCGTTAAAATATCTTTACGTTTTTACAAAATTCCTTCTTATCGCGTCGATGTAACGCGTATCGCAAAGCATCGTCGTAACACGTATAAACTACCTTTCTTATCCCTTTTTCGAAGATACGGAGAAAGTTTTCTTTCGACGATCTCGAGAATTGCGATCGAATTGACGATAAGAAATCGAGACAGAACGGCTTACGTTTTTACTCGTCCTTCTAACGACAATGTTATATCCATTTTTCGATAACAGAATATCGATCGAGATAACCACGTGTTAACAACATCTATCTTAGGATCAACGTTATTTTCGTATCATCAAGGATCTGTGATCTTCTATTTCGAAAAGTTTAACTTTGTTTTGTAAAATCGAAAAAGAATGTTTTTCAAAATTATTCATTAAAGATGAACGAATGAACGAACGAACGATCCGGTGTCATATCAAATGTTACATACAAAATAGAAAAAAGTTAATTGAAAGGAACTCTCGATTGGATACTTTTTCAACGAAACTTTTTTCGATATTAATTTCGATCTGCATAAATGCATAATAACGTATTCTCAAGAACGAGGAGAAACTTTTCCTACGTTGGTCCAGATCTGAAACCATTCTATCGGAATAAGGGGTGTGGGGAGAATGCGAATATCGAAGGATAATAAAATTTCATCGCCGTAAGAATCGAGCCGAAGGAGAAACGGGTATGCGAGTAGATACCCCCGGACGTAATAATTACGCTTAGCGATTAATAATATAAATTCATTACCGAGAGCTTTGTAATTTAAATTTCACTATTGCCGGTAACTTCCCGTGTACTCGAAACCTTATCTACTTTTCAGAGAGCACCCGTTAGCATACAATTAGGACCATTCCGCGCTCATTTCCAACTACTTACGTTTCTAATCATCGCAGCCGATCTTTTTCGTTACGTGCTTCCCTGTTGCGAATTTTGGGAGATGCACTTGGACCGCTATGCACCAATTAATTTACTGTATACGTAATATAATATAATATTGTGTAATATATATAGACTACCGTAAATTATGAGGGGAACAGAACATCTGTAAGAAAAAAAAGGAATGCCTTTGGTGTAACCGTAATTATTTTGTTAAACCTTACGTTATGACATGCATTAACGCGACTATCGTTCCATATAAATTTGTTCGTGCATGCGTATCGTTGCATGGTACGACCCCTACATGGGTCGATCTTTCATAAGTGGCCTTTGCACGGACGACCCGTATGGGGACCGCTCTTTTGATGCAAATCAACAAACTATACGGAATTTTTGGTCAACTAGTCTACTTACTTACCTACGTTTTATTAATGTATTTTTTTTTTCCTTACTTCGTTCAAGGTTCTAGCGATATTTCTTATATTTTCATTACTTTCCACGTTAATTATATTACGAAATATTATATGTTATAAAATAGGAGTTTTATGAAATGGAAACGTCTATTATTTACTTGGAATTTTGTATTCGTATATTTTGAAAATGGAAAATATAATAGTTAAGTGTTTGCAAAGTGTGTAGGTATTTCTCTAACGGGGTAACATCGCACAAGGGTAAAGCTATTTAAATAAGAACGAACTTTTCGCATTGGTCGACTCTTTCTCTGTGGCGACGGTCTCGAGATGTAATTTTCATGGTAGGACGCACACGGAGACAGGGAACTTAGACTATCCTTGCTCTTAATGAGCTCCAATCTGAATTTTGGGTAAAGGTCCTTCTCGAAGCCACGGCCGGAGAGAAAATCGAGTTATCAGAGCGCGCGAGAAATTTTCCTACGAGTACCTATACATGCATAAAAGGGTATGCGTGTAGATAGTTATATACCTATGTGAAAATCTTGTTAACGTTTTTCATTTAGGGTAATACAATCTTGGAAGCAATGCGCAAACATCGATCCCATAAGGGAATAGGGGATGCATAACTTCAATGTAGATCAGGAGATTTGTTCGTTGATGTCATCTACCTTCCCTGAGATGAAATTTCATAGATGAACGGCGAGAAGTAAAAGCTGGGACGATCGAATGCCAACGTCAGGTTCTTCGCAATTTTCTATGATCCACACGTTCCTTCGAAGTGCTAACGAACAGAGCTATTTCAGCGATCGGAATTTTCAGGTGGTATATCCTATCTGCATCGATCGTTAACGCAACTACGTTTACGAAATGACTGTAGTTGGGGGATCGACGATAAAGGACGAGCTTTACTTGCGATAAGCCTCCGACAAAGCAGAACACATTTGTTTCAACGGTTAGAATTTCAACGGCTCGGCTATGAAATCATTTAATCGGCACTAGAAGTTTCTCCATCGAGGGTACAAATTATCCTTAAATCTTCTACATATATATATATATGGACCGTTCATTTTCAAAGTGGTGTAAGTCCATTTTCTCTTATTTCGAGAAAATTAAAGGTTAACATATCTATTAATTAAAAAATTTAGGCAAATTATTTGAAGTCTGGCAATGTTCTACTGTTTTATCAACATGTAATTTGATTATATAAATGTATTTTAAGCATATTTTACTAAACTGATGTATACTTACGCGCTGCAAATGGACTTACACCACTTTCAAAATAAACGGTCCATATCCGTCATTTTGAGTTTATTGTTAATAAAAATCATGAGTACAAATTAGTTTCCAATTTGTTTACATCCATCAATATATCCAAAATGAAATAGAATTATTTAATATCTAGGACAGTCTTGGGTATTAAAATTTGAAAAGACGTTATTGTCTGGTTGAATCGTAAAACTGTAATAAAATTAGAAACGTTCCTTGAAAATGACTCTCGTATATAAAAGGGAAATGGATGAGTATAAGATAAAAAGGATTTCACAGCTATGGCGTATAACGTGAACGGTGCTAAAGCAATTTTCTTTAGATGATAAATCTATAATTTTGTAACACTAAAACTTGGCGATATGACGTTGATACGAGCAAAGAAATAAATTAAGTGTATAAGTAAAGAGAGAGAGAGAGAGAGAGAGAGAGCGAGAGGAAAATGATCGCGAGTTCTACTAAGGTAGGTAAAAAATTCCTTAATACCGAAGCATACTCTTATGCACGAACGAGAGAAGGAAAGTAAAATTGGCAAAATCGCGAATAAAGGAATGCTAAAGGGATTGGATGAAAAGAGGGGAGGGTGGGAGGGAGAGAGAGAGAGAGAGAAAGAGTGAGTTGCCGGTTAACGAGAGAAACGAGTCGAAAGGAATATCTTGCGAAGGAGGAGAAAGAAGAAGAAGAAGAAGCAGTGAATGAAACGAGAGTAATGCAACCAATTAGTAAGAATTAGCATGGAACAATGTCGGTGGAAAGGGTGTGGCGTTGGAAGAGGCAAAACCGAGGAGAAAGAGTCCCAGCACAA